ATATATATATATATATATATATATATATATGTATTATACTAATAGTAATACTCGGTTGTAAAAAAAAATCGGATAGCACAACTTGTAAGTATATCAAAACAAATTGATATCCAAAGAAAAAAATTGGAAATAAAAGAAAGAACTAGGAACATCAGCGTTAAACAAATCGTCTAGATCCTTAAGTTTTTGGTTCAAAGAAACAACACAAGCGACTAATAAGGCTAAGTACAGCTGGCATAAATAAAATAAATCCTAAAGAGCCAGGAACGTCCTACCTAGGTTTCACCTAAACAGATCTTCAGTGTATTTTATTTTATTATATATATATATATATATATATATATATATATATATATATATATATATATATATATATATATTTTGTATTATTTATTTAGAATCTTATTTAGATTTTCTCTCTCATTTTTTAACTATCTGGTATTTGGCGAGGTTTATCACTGTTTACGCTATATTAAGACCCCGTGTTGCGAAGTTTTGTTCATATCTGTTCTTTTTTACTTTTTTTCGAGAGGAGTGAGAAAGAGAAAGCATGGGAAAAGAGTACGGAGTCTGACTGTGAAAGCTTCCATCGTTTAATGAGAAAGGTTCGTGCGATGAATTCTTCAAGGATTGAGTGGGAGTTCAAGACGCCAAGGAAACTATTTTTTTCTCCAACATCCTGCTGTTAATTTTAGATGTCGACGACTGGATCTGAAAAATAAATGTATGAGGTATTATGAGAATACGAAGCTATGCAAAATAATCGATAAATAGGCCGGAAATAGAGCTTATTTTTTTTAATAATTTTAATATATATATATATATATATATATATATATATATATATATATATATATATATATATATATATAAGGTGTACTTATAGGATAAAGTGTTCAATATCAGAGATACAGCGTATGTAAATATAAAAGTGAACATTGAAGTTAACACTCAAGCGACATGTTGACGCAATCGTCAGGTACACACACACACACACGCACACACACACACACACATATATATATATATATATATATATATATATATATATATATATATATACGGTTTTCTTCTCTCTCTCTCCATATATATATATATATATATATATATATATATATATATATATATATATAGCACGGTTTTAAAAAATAAAACATAAATACTAAAGAACTTCATTAACAGTTCTTTCCTTTTTACGTCAGTACACACACACACAAGCATATATATATAAATACAAAGAAAGAACAGCAAGATATATAATCCGGTGTTCTTATAGATATTTTTATTTTTACAAAATATGCCTGATGTAAATTTATAGGGTATTAATATTATAATTAATTGATTTAAATTATGTTTTTTCACACAAAAAAACATATTTTAAATCAATTAATTTATATATATATATATATATATATATATATATATATATATATATATATATATATATATATATATATATATATATATATATATATATATATACCGGATTTAACAAAAAATGTCCAAATCGTGTTACGGCATAATTGTTCATCCCACACAACATTTATAATCTGAAAAGATTATTCTAATTAAGTTCCTTTTTTCCATGTTTTCATATAAGACTTTTATCCATCTTGACACCATTTGTCGTAAGCATATAACTGAAAACCCCATTGACTTATTCAGCTAGGAAGAGAACAGGTTCATAGAAAATATTCGTTCTCAGGCTGATGGTTCCATATAGGATACAGGTTCGAATCCTGTCGGAGGACGAATATTTTCTATGAAAATTTCTCGGGCATTCAGGCCGGTAAATGTTATTTAATACTGTTTATTATAAACAGAGGATTTACTTAAATATTTGTATCTATAAAAAGAATGTTAAACATAAAATGTCTTTATATATATATATTTGAACTCAATTTCAATCCTTCCTGAACTTCCGATCCTTAACTAAGATTAATAAATTATGAACATAATAACGAATATGTCATTTTCGTCTACGGTCGATTTCATACGATTCTTCTGTTAAGCTTCGAGAGTAATTATACATTCTTAGTGCCCAAAGTAGAGATCAATAATGTTATAAAATCCTCAGAGAATTCCAGTAAGATATCTTTAATCATTTCCAAGATACAACGTATTCAGGGCTTAATATAAACAATTGACAATTTTGTTATTCTAGTATATATATATATATATATATATATATATATATATATATATATATATATATATATATATATATATATATATATATATATATATATATATATATATATATATATATATATATATATATATATATATATATATATATATATACTCCTGGTAAAAAGCTTAAGACCAGATACAAAATGATGTTACTTTAATAATCGAAATATATTTGCGAAACATTTACATTTAATTAGAAAATGTAGTTTATCAACAAACAATTGAATATTTTAAGTTTTCAATTGATTAATTTAAACAACCATTGAAAAAAAAGTATGTGTGATAAAAAAAAAAACTAATTACTGGGCAAAAATTTTAGAACTTGTCAGTGTGCTCATAGCTTCAGGCGTGTAGACATCTACGCAGTTCATTTCCACCATTTCAGATTTTAAAATGGCTAAGGGTAAAATTTTAACAAAGTTCGAACAGGGCAGGATCGTTGAACTTCAAAGACGTAGTCTTTTGCAACGAGCCATTGCAAATGAAATTGGCTGTAGCAGAATTGTCTTTGCAAACTTCATTAAAAATCCGGATGCGTATGCTTCTAAAAAATCAAACGGTCACCCCAATAAAATCTCACCATCTCTAGACAGACGCATTAGGCGAGAAGTTTATTGATATTCAGGCCTAACATAAATCAGGTAAAAGCGAATTCAGATGATGTATGCAGCTCTCGAACAATTTGACGGCATTTAGATAAAAAAAAAGGTTTTAAAAACATGAAACGGCTGCTGAGGCTTCACCTTCTTCCTCGTCACAAAACCTTCCGTTTTCAATTTGCTTCCGATTATCAGTGGAAGAATAAATCGATTATAAATGGAGGAAAGTGTTGTTTGCAGTCGAGAACAAATTCAGACTTGATGGCCCAGACAGTTTTCAGCGTTAATGACATCCAAACCTTTTCTCAGCCCTACATAGTGTAGGTAGGGTTGATTTTCGTAAAATGGAACTCTTGAGTTACAGAAAGTCAGAGGTCATCAAACGGTTCTTAGTTACATTGACATGTTAACAAAAGGCATCGCTAATTAATGAATGCCTTCGTCTATGTGGAGAAAAATGGATTTTCCAGCAGGACAATACTGCAATGCATAACGCTCTAAGGCCGAAGGAGTTGTTTTTTTTTATGGAAAACAACATTCAACTATTGAGCTATCCACCGTGCTCTCCAGTTCGAAACCCAATCGAAAATGTTTGGGGATGGATAGCAAATGATGTTTATAAACATGGACCGCAATTTGAAACTGTGGATGCTCTTCGTGATGCAGTTTATGCATCCCAAGCACTCTCATACAAAAGTTAACCATGAGGACGCCAAAGCGAATTTTCGAAGTAATTCGCAAAAATGGACAATATACTGAATATTAAATTATCGTTGCAACTTATTTGTTCTGTATTTTCTATTTTTATTTACATGGTTCTATCTTTGTGACCAGCCAAAAAGATACTTTTTCACTTTTTATTTCAATTAATCAAATAAAAGCTTAAAATTCTCACTTGTTTGTTGATAAACTACATTTTCTAATTAAATGGAAATATCTCGCAGATTTATTACGATTAAACTAACAGTATTTTATATATTTTAACCCTTTGTATCTGGTCTTAAAATTTTGACCATGAGCACACACACACACACATATATATATATATATATATATATATATATATATATATATATATATAAAAGTGAACACAGTTCATAGAGGTGACAGTCTGTTTCATGCTAGACGAAATCGTCAGGCCTGATGATTGCGTCTAGTATGAAACAGGCTGTCGCCTCTAAATGTTGACTTCTGTGTTCACTTTTTATATTTATACACGCTCTATCTCTGACATTGAGCACTCTATCCCATAAATATAGCAAACCTTAAGACTATATATATATATATATATATATATATATATATATATATATATATATATATATGAAGAAATATAGTCTATATATATATATATATATATATATATATAAGACTCCAGGTTGAATCCATTACATTCACTTACGTGCTAATACCCTTGGGAAAGGTATAAATCCTCTTCTTTCCCTCCAGCTATGGGTAAAATAGCAGGACAGACTGGGTTCTATAGCCTTTGATGGCAACTGGTCTAGGACAACTCTGAATTCAAAACCTGCGGAGGGTTGTTTGGGAACCTCAGGGTATCGTAGTGCACCAGGTCTCTGTATTCGGCCCTTCAAGTGTGGATGGTCCTGCACGAAACCTTCACCACTATAATCAAATCTCATGTGTTAAAGTCGGGCTGTCAGTTTCCTGGAAACTGATCTGCTTGACCCTCATACGTCGAACCCGACGGAGAATTGATTTATATATATATATATATATATATATATATATATATATATATATATATATATATATATATATATATAATTTTGGGTTAAAAAGAAGAAAATACTTGTCATGTCAGTTAATCACTTATAATTTTAGTTTCAAATTCTTTCCCTTTGAACATTGGGAGAAGAGAAAGATAGCAAAACGAAGAAAGATGGCTGAGGAAAGAGAGGATTTCGGAAGTGCGAAGGATGTAAATGATTTTCTATTTTGGGAGATGATAAATCGAAGCGGACGGAATAGATAAAAATGAGATAAATATTTTTATAAGAAGGCAAAATAAAGGGGACACTGAAGAAGAAATATTATTTTTGAATGTAACAAGAAGCAAGTTCAATAAGTATGAATGAAAAATACGAAAGAGTGACAAGTTCTTTGATGTTTTCAGTAGAAGCGACAAATATTGGGAAGGTACCAAAAGAAATAATTTCTCCAATCCATTCGAAGAGACTTCAAACCCTATTCCACCATTGAGAGGAAAAAGCTTGGGGGAAGGCTTTCACTAAAATAATGACAAAGAGGGAGAAAGACAAAGAGAGGGGATAAGGAAGATGAAGGGAAGGAAAAATAGAGAGAGTGTGCGTGTGACTGAGTGAAAGACGGTGACGAAGAAGGACAAAATAAAAGAATATTAGAGAAAGGGTAAGCGATATGAAGAGAAAGAAATAGATAGATTGATAAATAGAGAGCGAGAAATAGAGAAAATGAGAGACGAGCGGGAGTGAGTGGGCGAATGACGGTGATGAAAAGGACTAAAATGTGGGAATATTCGAGAAAGAATAAAAGATATGAAGATAGGTAGATAGATAGATAGAGAGAGAGAGAGAGAGAGAGAGAGAGAAACAGAGAAAGATAGACAGAGAATGAGAGAGACGGGCGGGAATGAGCGGGCAAATGAGGGTGATGAAAAGGAATAAAATGTGGGAATATTCGAGAATGGATAAAAGATATGAAGAGATAGATAGATAGATAGAGAGAGAGAGAGAGAGAGAGAGAGAGAGAGAGAGAGAAACAGAGAAAGATAGACAGAGAATGAGAGAGACGGGCGGGAGTGAGCGGGCGAATGTCGGTGATGAAAAGGAATAAAATGTGGGAATATTCGAGAAAGAATAAAAGATATGAAGATAGATAGATAGATAGAGAGAGAGAGAGAGAGAGAGAGAAAGTGAAACAGAGAAAGATAGACAGAGAATGAGAGAGACGGGCGGGAGTGAGCGGAAGGAATGTCGGTGATGAAAAGGAATAAATGTGGGAATATTCGAGAAAGAAAAAAAAGATGAAGAAGATAGATAGATAGATAGATAGAGAGAGAGAGAGAGAGAGAGAGAGAGAGAGAGAAAGTGAAACAGAGAAAGATAGACAGAGAATGAGAGAGACGGGCGGGAATGAGCGGGCGAATGAGGGTGATGAAATGGAATAAAATGTGGGAATATTCGAGAAAGAATAAAAGATAGATAGATAGATAGATAGATAGATAGATAGATAGATAGATAGATAGATAGATAGATAGATAGCATGACAGAGAAAGACAGATAGATAAAGAGGGAGAGAAAGGGAGAGAAATAAGTAAGATGAAGAGGATGAAAATATATATTTAGGGGGATTGGGTGTACGAATGATGCCGATGAAAAAAAATAAGAGAATATTACAGAATGGGTAATGGAAGTAAAGATAAAGAAAGATACAGAGAGAAAAACATAGAAACATAGAGGGAGACAGGGTGAAAGAAAGAAAGAAAGAAAGAAAGAGAGAGAGAGAGGATATCGCATGATTTGTCAGACATATTGGATTTTTCTCTTAATAGACTTACCTGTACAAAACGAAACCAACGAAGGAAAAGAGAATATTATTTTTCCGGTCGATATCGAAGTCATCTTTGAGCAACTTTCATTGATCTTCTTCATCCTACGCCTTCTCCTTCTTATCATTCGATTCCTCTTCTTTTTGTTATTGGACTTACTATTATTATTATTGTTGTTTTTTTTACTAGCAACAGCAATACGTAAGCGTTTAGTTGTGTGATAAAAACCTTGGCAATCATATCTTAAGTCAGAGGTTCTGGTGGATCCATCAAGGAGGTGACGTCTTAGAAATTATAACCTTTACCGAAGTCTTGAGAATGAATCTAGGGAGACAGAACAGTCCAAAAGTCACAAGTCATCGTGGCCGAGGTTTTGAGCCTACTAACCTTATTTAAACTCTTGATCATACCAGAATAAGCCCTTTCTTTCTCCAGCCCCCAAGAAAAGCTAAGGTCCGCTCGGCATAGTTGCAAATTGGCTCTTTGGGTGTTAAATAAAAAAAAGATGTTTCTAGAGTAAGTGTGTGCAACAGAGAGGGCACCCTAGAAGATAATCATACTCGGATACTAGTGACAAACTATACATTATTATTATTATTGTTGTTTGTATGTTATATTTCCTGCTTTGTATCCTGTAGAGCTAGTTCTAAACTATGGCCCTTAGGCTCTATAGAGAATTGTTATTTAATTTATAGCACTTTTCTTAGTATATGGGATGTTCCTGGTAGGATGATCCTCTAGGCAACGTGTATGTTGATGTTACCTGCGACACTGATAATAAAATTGTCCATTCTTTTTCTCACGAGGTCCAGTGTTCCGATTACTATTGGTACAATCTCATTCTTCCCCACATACTGTTAATCTCCATCTCCAGGTCCTTGTATTTGGACAATTTTTCGATAATTTTTATGGAGGTGTTTCTCTCATATGTATCTAAAAGAAATTATATTATATACATTAAAAAAATATTTCATATATATATATATATATATATATATATATATATATATATATATTATGTATATTTAGGGCAATTTTTTATTGATGCATGTTTCATTAAATAGTATTTTGTTTTTGTCTATTTATTTTAGTAAGTTCTTTCATATTGTCTGATAAGCTTAATAACATTATCATTGAAAGACGATTGATTTAAAGATGTATCAATATTGTGATATCCTTTTCGTCGTTCAATGATAGTGTTATTAAGTTTATCAGACAATATGAAAGGAACTTATTTAAAATAAATAGACAAAAACTTGTCTATATTATTTAATGAAACATGCATCAATATATATATATATATATATATATATATATATATATATATACTATGTGTATATGTATATGCATATATATATATATATATATATATATATATATATATATATTATGTGGTTAAGTTATATAATCTAGCCAATTTCTTTTAGGTTCTTTTCTTTTTATTTCCATCATTTCTGTTATTACAGCCAACCTGATACTGATCTTAAGTTCGTGAATTCGAGGTACGAAAGAGAAACATGCATCAGAATAATTACCAGTTTTTTCTTTCAGAAATATTGTGCAAGGAACGTACCTTAGGACGGTGGGAAAGTGAATGAACCTGAGATTTCGAGACAGGACTGATAATATTGCAGATTCTAAATCTCAAAATTCAGAATCTCTAAGCACATAGCAGGAGCTCCAGGTCAAATGTGACAGCCCTATGCAAAGCGCGGACGTATGGTGGACTTATAGATATGGAAGATAGATTCTGACGAGAAAGATTGTCTAGCACGACTCGGTGAATGTAATTTCCTAGCAGCAGATCTTGCAAGGCATATAATATAAAGGTAGCTTTTCACGTCCGTACGAGACGTTAGACTGTGAGTTGGAATTTAATTAATAAAAACTGACCTGGTGATATTTGCATACGTTTTTATATTAATGAAAACGAAATATTATAAATATATATTATGAATGGTCTATTAAATGAAGATGGAGCATTTATCCCAGCCATAAAATTTTCTTAAATATTGCAGGGTGGATTTTATGTATATGGATTTGATTTTGCACAGATCTTATCTATCTATCTATCTATCTATCTATCTATCTATCTATCTATCTATGTCAATCTTTTCATATTTTTATGTCTATTTATCTCAATCTGTTCAGTTTTATCTGTCTGTTTATCTATTTCAGTCTGTTCATTGTCTCTCTATCACAGCCTGTTCATTCTCTATCAGTCTATCAGAAATCCACTTTTTTATCAAGCGTACGTTACGCTTACGATAACGCAAACTCAATTCTTCTTCTTCTTCTTATTCTCTTTCTTCTTCTTCTTCTTCTTTTCCTTTCTTCTTTTTTTTCTTCTTCATCTTCTCTTTCCTCTTCTTCTTTACCTTTCTTCTTCTTTCTTCTTTTCCTTTCTTCATCTTCTTCTTCTTTCTTCTTCTTCTTCTTCTTCTTCTTTTCTTCTTCTTCTTCTTTTTCTTCTTTTTTCTTCTTTTTTTTTTTTTTCTTCTTCTTTTTCTTCTTCTTCTTCTTTTCTTCTTCTTCTTTTTTCTTCTATTTTTTTCTTCTTCTTCTTCTATAAGCCATGTCTCTTCAAATTCTGATGAATAAAGAGGGAATATGAACTGTATGTGAAAAAATATATAAAACCCTCATCAAACATAAATTTTAGGAGAATAACTTTTTAACAAGATTTTATATATATATATATATATATATATATATATATATATATATATATATATATATATATATATTTATATATATATATATATATAAATATATATATATATATAATCCGTCTCTCTGTCTTTTTGCTCTTTTAATCTCTTTTTATATATATATATATATATATATATATATATTCTTTTTATTCTATTCTTATATATATATATATATATATATATATATATATTTATATATATATATATATATATATATAAAACTCTCTCTCTATCTGTTCCTCTTTTAATGTCTCTCTTCCTCTATATGTATATATATACATATATATATATATATCTAAGAAAAAATTTTACTAACGTATTTAGTCCCCTGAGGAACATTATCAACCTTCCATGTAAATTCACATTTACTTTGACAAAGTCCCTCAGGGGACGAAACGTGTTGGCAAAGAAATTATTTCCTTTTGTCATTTATTTATATTCTCTTTACACATATATTTTATTCATATCTTATATTTTCTATACACACACATGCACCCCCACACACAAACACATCTATCTATCTATCTCTCTCTCTCTCTCTCTCTCTATATATATATATATATATATATATATATATATATATATATATAAATATATATAATATATATATATATGTGTGTGTGTGTGTGTGTGTGTGTGTGTGTGTGTGTGTGTGTGTGGAATGGAGGCAATAATGTGAAGTAATGGATTGCGGCTCGGATTGAGGAATCGGAGAGCTAAGTTCGAATCCCAGTCGGCTATTAACCTTGGGAAAGGTATGATTTCTTCATTGACTGGGTTTGATGACAACTGGTCTAGAAAAAGAAAAACTTTGAATTCAAAACCTGCGGAGGGGCGTTCGGGGACCTTGTGGCACGTAGTGCACCAGGTCTCTGTATTCGGCTCTTCAAAAAGTGTGGATGGTCCTGCACGAAACCTTCACTACTATAATCGAATCATACGTGCAGGAACTGAATACGACAGCTTACGTTACACCTATCCGACCACAGCTCCATTAGAACTCATTTAAAAACACCCGCACAAACCTAAAAGATTCCATCGGAAACATACTTGTAGAAAATACAAAGCTTCATTCACATGTAAAAATTGATTAAAAATAATGGAAGCCCTAAATAATAAAAAAGAAAAAAAGCTAACACTCAATAAAATTAACTACGAACACCTAAATTTACTGACCGTGGTTGGAACATAAAACACTCCTATAACTTTAGATCTATACAAACAACCATAGCATTCAGTTAAAAAGTAAAAAGAAAATCATCCTTGATAATACCTAAAAGTATAGCTGAACAGATATACAGAACATTAGGGCAGGTTTTACGCAATTTGTGTCCAAATAAAAAATTAAGCACAAGAGAAAATTCAATAAAAGGCTTAATCGCAGTATCTTGTCAGTCGTCTTTAACGAAACATATATAAAAAAAAGTGATTACTGCCTGAATGCACAATATATATACACTGCGTGCCAAATTATTATCGAGATAACTATTTTTCTAATATTTCAAAACCGTCGAATCAATTCACACAAAATTTTCAAACAATGTTGGCAACACTAGCCTGCGCAATCACTAAAATTTTTGTATTGATCTGCGTAATTTAAACAAACTGGCGCCATATTAGTTATTAGTGCGGTGATTTGACCGTGCCAAATTATTAGAAAGGTTTAGTAAAATTCTCAGAATTGAGCAAACAAAACGTTTATTAATGTTGCACGTGAATTTTTATGATCAAAAGAAGCTAATAAATAAGATAATCAAACAAATAATAACAGATATAAACAAAGGCACTGTTTTAAACAAATTAATAGGGAATGTGCTTTCCCTGTTTTGAAATTACTTAAAGTTGACAATCCATAGAATTTCTTAATTGTAGGATGCCATCTGCTGTAATACCGCGAGATATATCAAGAATTGCTTCCCACAACTCAGCGTTGCTCCTGAATTGTCGTCCGTTGGCGTACAGACTTCGCTTCATAATGCTCCAAAGGTTTTCAATTGGGGTCAAATCCGGAGAATTTGCTGGTCACTTCATTTTTCGAGGTCCATCGAGGCCTAACTGTTTCAAATATTCAGTAGTATTGTGAGCAGCATGTGAGGGAGCATTATCTTGCATAAAAACAATGGCCTTTCTGAAGGCAATTCTTTGCCTTTTCATCCACGGTTCAAGATGCTCCTTCATAAACGCTATGTATGCATCAGCAGTCATTTTGACGCCATCTGGTACTCTCCATGAGCCCACTAATGTTTTTCCAATAATACCACCCCAGATCATTATGCCTCCACCGCCTTATTGGCGTCTCAAACGCTGATGGCGATTCTGTCCGTTCATTACCCAGCCTTTGCACTATCTATCTGGCCCATCAAGTGTTGCTCGAGTTTCGTCTGTGAAGAAGAAAACTTTAGAGAAGTCAATCTTCATATTGTCCTCGGCCCATTTCAATCGATTTTGAATGTGATTTTCGTCAACGGAGGCTTCGATACAGTTTGACTGTTGTTGCTATTTCCCTCAGATACCGACACCGAGTAATTTTAGACACAGTAGGATCCTGAATGCGACTGAAAAGCTTTTGACTGGTAAGTCTAGGGTCCTTCGTGTATGTCTCGTTTAAGTCGTGACATGAGACGACGAAATAACCTTGCCTTGCCTTTTATCTGCCCTTTTGAGTACTTGTGTAGAGTCGGCGGTAAACATTTTCACTGTTTGATGACACCTCCCTATCATTTTAGAAATTTTAGGTAGATTTACCTTTTGAGAGTTCTGAGGTGATAGTTTTTTTTCAGCATCACTTTAAACTGCTTTTACGGCCCATCTTTTCACTAAATTCTTACACATTTCTAATAATTTGGCACGCGCAAATCACAGTGCTGATAACAAATATGGCGCCACTTTGTTTACATGGCGCAGATCAGTACGAAAATTTCAGTGTTTGCGCAGGTTAGCGTTGACAACATTGTGTGAAAATTTTGTTTTTGTGAATTGATTGGGCGGTTTGAAAAATTAGTTATCTCGATAATAATTTACACGCAGTATATATATATATATATATATATATATATATATATATATATATATATATATATATATATTATAAATTAACTAGTTTAAAATATCGTTTTTTCGCTACAAAGTAATAAACATGTTTCAAAAATGAAGGCAAAAAGCTGCAAATTTAATTTTGTAATTAAATTAAAATCATTAGTTCCATTTCATCCTCAAGCGAATTATATATATATATATATATATATATATATATATGTGTGTGTGTGTGTGTGTGTGTGTGTGTGCGACACAATCGCTTGGTTTCTTGGCTGAAATGTAATTCAGTTAAATACTGATCAACTGATTTGTTGATAAGAGTGCTCACTGTCACGAGGATAGAGCCACATGTAAACAAGGGAGAAAAATGGGATCCAATTCATTTTATATCTGAAGATCGATAGATTACATTGTGCTGTAACCTAGAAAGGCTTACTGAATGAGGAATAAACAGAACAGAGTTTCGAAATGGAATGGTAATCTTTATAAGATCAACAAAATACAATACTCGCCAGCGGCGTGAAGTAGGTAAACCACTGCAAGTGGGGGACTACGTAGACAGAATATTACCTGCACTACCACTTACAATAGTTTCCAACGGATTTATGCTTATTGGAACAGACCCATTATTATTCGTAGGTACGGTATATAACATAGCATAATAGATGGTATATTTAATAGTCATTTTGATGCCGTACGAGTCTCTTGTGCACACTTTCCTTAAAATAAGTTTTGTAGAATCTGTTGTGACAAGGGTAAATTACTTTCCCGCTTAATTTTCTTTCAGTCGATAGAAGACGTCACAACTTAAGTTAAAACTTAATAGTTAATAATATGCCAACAGATTCCTAAACCCCGTAACAGATACATACTTAATGCCACATCTGGGACGTCAACACAATTTCACTGTTCATAATTTTATCTTTATTTTTTTATTTCTATTTTTTTATCTCTTTGTTTTTCTTTGCCTAGACACAAATAACATAACATAGACATAACTTTGCAGCGCAAACGGCACCCTGAGACCTTTTACCTGACAAAAGAAAAACACACACAAAATAAAAAAAAAAAACATTATCATATATGTTGTAACCTAGCGAAGGTTACTGAATATAATAATGACACGAGTGTTGGTAATGGACGATATTACTTAGAACAAGACATATAGGATTCGCCAGCGACGCGTAGAAGAAAGAAGCAGTCAGCTGCTAGAAGTGAGTCAAGAGAATTCCACAATGAATTTCCAACTGTAGGATATCTGCCAACCGCCCTACGCGGTCAGATGTGGCACAAGGCTAAATCTAATGTGGGGCATCCAAGCCAGTAGGCTCAGCCAAAAATTCCTCGTAGACCCCGTATAAAACGGGGTCGGATAGGTGTTTCCGGAGACGAGATTTCCGCCTTCGACATAGACCCTGCCAAATGCAGGATATACCAAAACGGGATCTTGGCACAAGGTTAAATAAGAAGCCTGAGACGATTCCGCCCTTCGACATAACCTCGTCTGGGGATCCTCTCTGCCCGGCGGCAGAGATTTTGACCAGCGCAACTGGACACGAATCTCCAACTACAGACCAACATGCAGTATTTACTACTGTATTTATGTCAATGCGGACACACTCGCTATCGTGCGTACGTATGCTACAACAATGCAAAACTGCATGTACGAATATAACTGAGTCGTAATTACTATGATGCTTTCTTTATTTTTCATTATGATTTCGTATAAGCGATTTTCCTTATTATTTATCGAAACGTTTTAACAAAAAATACTTGAAATAATCTTATACAATTCATTTATTCTGTATACAAATATTCCTTTCGGAG